CGGACCAAGGCCTATCCAGTCAGGGTGCAGCAATTTGAAGGTCCACTCCAATGCACAGGGGGAGCGGACCTTAGGGGAACGGGTAGTTTGGCATGTCCCCTTCACCCTGGCAGAGATCCGCACTATTCTGGCTGAGCTCCCGGACTATCGAGTCAATCCGAGAGGATTTGCTCGAATGTTTGGACAAAACCAGTTCAGCTATGGTATGAGTGGGTCAGACTGTGCGCAGATCCTGCGGGCAAAGGTGGGCAGGAAGTGGCCAGTACAGTGATTGCAGGGTGCTCTATAACCAGTCATGAGGAGATGACTTCAGGGGGCAAAGAGTTCTGTACACAGCTAAAGGCAAAGCTTCCAGAAATGTATGGTGCTACCTCTACTACGGACATGATGAAGCTCACCCAGGGTCCTAATGAGGAAAGCGCCTGCTTCTGGTGCCGTCTCAAGCAGACGGCACTGTATGTGGATCTGGAAGTTGGACCTGATGCTCCAACTGAAGGGGTAAAGGTGACCGCGACGCACATTTCTGTTGCGGGCCAAATTTTTGGAAGGCATCAATATTAAAATTCGGGAAAGGCTGGTTCTGGCCCGACCCGAATATAATGAGATGTCTATCCCTGCTATCCTTTCCACTCTTGGGGCAATAGAGAGGGAAATGGATAGAAGAAAACAGGACAAGGCCAAAGTTCTTATGTCCCAGACCCCACACGAAAAACCAAGGGATCTGGGTCACAGGAAGGATAGGCCCCCCACCCAGGTGCTTCCAGTGCCACCAAACGGGGCACATAAGGAGGAGCTGTCCCCAATTACCTAAAGGTTGGTGGCAGTTCATTCCTGATGAGTCCTCCGCCCCTGTGACCACCATGGTAAGTAGCTCCTATGAATCCTCATAGGAAGTTGACAAATCGGTGTCGGCCCAGGTCCATCTTTTTCTAGAGGAATTAAAATATCCCCTCCCTTGCCTCACCGACACCAGTGCAGCAAACGGAACGGTCTTGCAAAAACAGGACATCCAAGGCAAGGTTCCCCTCTCAGGGGAAAGCCCTCCTAACCCCTACTAACCTCACTATCAAACGATGCACTATTCTTAACCCAGCTTCTCTTCTTCCTGTGTTGGAAGATGAGAAGGGGGGGAGGACAGCAACGACAGTGCTGAATTTTGCAACACAACTAACAATACTAACACCTCTTTCTGCTAACATGTTTGTCCACTACTAACCTCTCTTCCAAAGGACACGACTGCATTTCTTTGGTGGAACTGGAGTCAGCGGCGACACACCCCGTATCACCCCCGAGAGTAGCGGTAAGGTTGAACGTCTTAACGGAATCCTTAAAAACAGGATCTCCAACATCATGGCTGACATCCAAAAACCTTGGCCTGAGTGTCCCCCCATTGCCCTCTATTCCATCCGGAATGCCCCTCGGCAACCACATGGGCTGTCACCCTACGAGGTGTTTGTTTGGGGGACCTCCCAAAACAGGGTTGTACTTTCCTCAACTGTTGTCGTCTTTGCATTCACAGCTTACAGGTTACGTGCAATCTCTGCAACGGGAGCTGCAGAAGATACACCACCAGGTTGTAAATCGCTCCCCGATCCAAATGCAATAACAGTGTTGTTCTTTCTATAGAGCCAGGTGATCGGGTCGTCCTAAAAAAACATCAAAGAACCGGACTCGAGCCACGGTTCACCGGACCATACCAAGTCCAGCTGACGACACCTACCTCACTCAAGCTCGAGGATGAGACAACTGGGTGCACGCAAGCCACTGCAAGAAGCTTCATTTTCCTTTTTCTTTTTTTTGTATGTCTTACATGTGTGTGAACGGAGGAAAAGACGGCAGATACCCCAACCTTTTATTTAAAAATGCATCTGCGTTTAGCCAGAACCGCCAACAAAACCAACTGTTGGGTATGCTCTAAGCCCCCAACCAGTCATCACATGTCCGCAATGGCCGCTGTTCATGCCCTATATGACATCCGCGTCGGCATGAAAAAGCAAGGGACCCCTGGTCAGCCCCCACGTAGACATTTGTCGGTAGAACTTAATGACACATTTTTAGCAGGTAACATCAGTTTTAGCACCAATATTAGCTCTAGCTTCTGTAGGGCACTCATTAGTCCATTATGGGTAACTGGACAACTAGGCAGCCCTCAGGTGTGCTTTAAACATCAGCTTCGCACAGGTAACAAGTTTGTTGGGACTACCACCTGTGAGGGAGGTATAACTGTCAATCTGACTAACCAGACTTCCCTTCTGAGTAACCACACTGACCGACCAGACCACGTTTGTTGGAAGGACGGATGTGATGTGCAGACTGAGGGAGCAATCCCCCAGTCTGTGCTACTGTTGCTCAGTGCCAGAGGCCGAACGAGGAACTCCTCCTGCTCTGCTCTGACAGGTCCATACTATTTTCTGTGTGGTTCGGCAGCCTATAGAACATTTCCCCAGAACGCGAAAGGTTCATGTGCCCTCATAAAGCTATTCCCCGCATCCTATGTAGTGATGGATCATGAAGAGTTGATGGTCCACAAGAAGGTAAGGATGGCAGGGAGAGTTCGCAGGGAGCTGTTCTCTGAGGGCGACCAAGCATGGCTTGTTCCCCTCATGGACAGGTTGGGGAATAGAACTTATGAAGCGCCTGAACAATTTTTCTGTCATCGTGGATAGTATGTTTAACGAGACCGTAGAGGCTGTCAGAGAAATTGCCCAAGAACAACGGCAGATGGGAATTTTAGTGCTTCAGGAGAAGATGGCCCTTGATTACCTTTTAGCCACCAAAGGGGGGTTCTGTGAGTTCATCGGAGAGGATTGTTTGTACTTGGATAGAAGACACCGATGACAAGGTCCAGGCCCATATGGACAAAGTTAGTGAACTACAAGGAAAAGCTAGAGCTATAGCTAGTGAGGGTTGGAATCCGTTCAAGGGTTTGGGAGGATTGGGAGATTTTCCTGTTCTCCATCGGATCTTGGTTGAAGGAAGTGGGAGTGTATATCCTGATGCTTCTCTTTTTCCTCTGCCTCTTATATGCCGCGGTGAGATGTTCCTGTTGCCTCATCGACCGTGTAAACCAAGCTCGGCAGACGACCACATCTCCATGCCCGCTCCTGGGATCCCACTCCAACCACTGATCGGAGGAAGACCTCACCAACCAACCACCTTCTCTACAGATTACGTCCTGGCTTCCCTCTAATTTATCTCCCTGAAGACCACATTCTCCAAGACCTCCAAGCAAGCTTCAAGCCTCATCATGGTTTGTGTCTGCGATTTGAAAAACTGTCTGGGTCGAGACCAGCCTTGTGTGGCCCCCGTCTGCAGGGGCAATTTGAGAATCTGCTGCTGGATCTCCCCAGACCACCGTCGGATCACAAGCCTTATTCATACCACCAGTTTGTTTGTGGTTTTTGCAAGAGCCTTCCTGTAGTGAAGGTTCCAACGCTCTTGAGGATCATTGCTTCAATCAAGCCTGTTTGCGTCGAGTCTGCGTCGGGTCTTGTTGTTTCAGGTACCTCGTGGAGCTTTATTCTCAGGGACAACTACAGGAACTCTGGTCTAAGACCAACTCTTTGAGGTTTTGAGACTACACCCATCAAGCTGAAGAAGATCAAGAAGGGACACGAGGAGAATATGATAAAACAGGAGGGAATGTCATGGAAATTTTGTATTGTTGGTTGAACTTTAAATGTGTCATATATTAATCTTATTCATATGTCTCTCGTGTGGCTTAATTAAAGCTCTGAAGGCTGCAATTGGGCAATGCGCATGTACAATGTATGTATTACAGTACTCAGCTCGGTAATGGATGAGATGGCAGATCTGCGCTTATAGAAGACCGGCGTGTATACCACCACGGCATTCGATGCGAATGCCGCCCGCGGTAGGCCGCGGGCCTGTATCCACATATCAGCAGCATAGTACCACATGGACTTCATAACGCAAGGCGCCAAGCGATGTGAACTCCGCGTGTAGGCTTATGCATATCTTACAAGCCATTACCGACCTGAAACTGTATCTGATGGATGTGTTTTAATAAAGATCGTATCGTGCCCATCCAGGTACAGACTGATGTTTAGCCTGGGGGATACTTGTACAGGGAAGTTACATACCAATAGGAGCTACTAGGACAGGAATTATGCTCTCCATAGAGGGCTCATGGGGGGGGAAGGGAGGAAGTCTGCTGACCTCAGAGGGCTCATGGGGAGGACCAGTGATAGATAATAGGAAAGGCTATGCTCCAATCGGAATATACATCCTGTGTATAGGCACTCCACATTGCATTGTTCTGTGGGAGGGGATTGACCTTATTCATGTGGGGGGCGTGTGTGTGTGTTTGTAATAAAACCGGGGGCTGAGTCTGAAGCCGGCCTCTATGTGAATTCCAACAGCATCCTGAGAGTGTCGTGTGATCATTCTGGGGTATAGGGAGCTCCATTTACCCACATCTCAACAGAGTTAAATCAGTTGGAAGGGCAGGAATCGTGTAGTTTAGCTGCAGTCGTGGTAAGCGAGATTCGCACAGCTTTATGGGGATTTCTGCGCATCCAACTGCGAGTACTCACGGTAAGGAGAAATTCGTTAGAGCGAATTTCCAAGACACAGAGTAGGCCTGGATGGAGGTTCTCTCCATCTTCTCCTGAATGCTGGAGGCAAGCCCTGCATGCCACCTTACCTGTATCAGAACTATGCATTGCCATGGTGTGAGTGAGATACTGTGCATCCCAGCTCTAGAGCTTCATTGGTTAATATGGTGCTTGTGGCTGGCCAGTACCATGGTAGCGCATGATACTAATCCTGGCAGACTGTGTCCTGCATTTGTGGTACCCCAGGGGAACCGAAATTGCACCCCGGTTGAGAAATGGTGCTTTATTATATCTATATTGCCAAGATGGAAACTGTATTCACTTTTTTAATAGACTAAAATACATTTGTTGATTTTGGATACTTTTTGTTCATTACATCCCTCTTGACCAGTGTAATGTAAAATAAATGATTGCACAACTTACCCACTCTAAAAACAAGTCATACGCAAGCTCATCTGCTGTGGGATAATGTCCAAGGATGAAGCTAAAAGAGCACATAATTTTATGTTAATGTGATAGCAGTGTGCATTTTCTGTACATACATTATTTTTAGTTATAATTGCATTTATTTTAGTAGTTGTAAACCTTATCTGAAAGACATTTAAGCTGGCCATAAATGGATCAATCTATGGGCAGGCTGGTTGTACCCAAGTCGATCCATGGATCGACTTGAGTACAACTGGCCTGTTGTATTTTTTTACATGTGATTACTGCCAGTGGCTATAGCAATCATTGTGTTCGACTAAACCAGGAAGGCTTCCTGGCGGCAGAAAATAATAGCGCTACATGCTACCATTGATGGAAGGGCAGAACATCGACCTATCTATGGCTATCCTTAGGGGTTTATTTATAAAACATTTGTTGCATGTTTAAAACATTGACACAAGCTGAACAAAATGTCACCATCATTTTTGTAAGAGATGAATGCCTGTATTGTCAGCTCCATCTAATGACCAAAATGCCATATAGTTTTCTGAAATACTTCAATGAAAAAAAACTATATACATTTCTCAAAAAAATTAAAAGAATACTTTGAAAACACATCACATCTCAATGGGGAAACATATTATGCTAGATATCTATACTGATATGGACTGGGTAATGTGTTAGGAACGTAAGGATGTCCCATCGTTTGATGGAAATGACAATTATCAACCTACGGAGGACTGAATTCAAAGGCACCCCGAAAATCAAAGTGAAAAAATGATGCAGCAGGCGAGTACATTTTGCTGAAATTTCATTGCAGCAACTCAAAATCGTCCTCAGTAGTTTCTATGGCCCCCACGTGCTTGTATGCATGCCTGACAACATCGGGGCATGTTCCTAATGAGATGATGGATGGTGTCCTGGGGGATTTCCTCCCAGATCTGGACCAGGGCATCGCTGAGCTCCTGGACAGTCTGAGGTGCAACCTGTTGGCGTTGGATGGACTGAAACATGATATCCCAGAGGTGTTCTATTGGATTTAGGTCAGGCGAGCGTGGGGGCTATTCAATGGTATCAATTCCTTCATTCTCCAGAAACTGCCAGCATACGCTTGCCACATGAGGCCGGGCATTGTCGTGCACCAGGAGGAACCCAGGACTCACTGCACCAGGAGGAACCCAGGACCCACTGCACCAGCGTTGGGTGACAATGGGTCCAAGGATTTCATTCCGATACCTAATGGCAGTCAGGGTGCCAATCTTGCCTGTAGAGGTCTGTGTGTCCCTCCATGGATATGTCTCCCCCGACCATCATTGACCCACCACCACAACGGTCATGCTGAACGATGTTACAGGCAGCATAATGTTCTCCACAGCTCTCCAGACCCTTTCACGTCTCTCCATGTGCTCAAGGTTAACCTGCTCTCATCTGTGAAAAGCATAGGGTGCCAGTGGCGGATCGGCCAATTCTGGTTTTCAATGGCAAATGCCAGTTGAGCTCTATGGTGCTGGGTAATGAGCACTGGGCCCACTAGAGGACGTCAGGCCCTCAGGCCACCCTCATGAAGTCCATTTTTGATTGTTTGGTCAGAGACATTCTCACCAGTGACCTGCTGGATGTCATTTTGTAGGGCTCTGGCAGTACTCATCCTGTTCCTCCTTGCACCAGTCCTGCTGATGGGTTAAGGACCTTCTACGGCCCTGTCCAGCTCTCCTAGGAGTAACTGCCTGTCTCCTGGAATATCCTCCATGCTCAAGAATGTGCTGGGAGACACAGTAAACCTTCTGGCAATGGCACGTGTTCATGTGCCATACCAGAGGAGTTGGACTGCCTGTGCAACCTCTGTAGGGTCCAGGTATCGCCTCATGCTACCAGTAGTGATACTGACCCTAGCCAAATGCTAAACTAGTGAAAAACAGAAAAAGATGAGTTGGGAAAAAAATTTCAGTGGCCTCCACCTGTAAAACCATTCCTGTTTTGGGGGTCTCCTCATTATTGCCCATCTAGTGCACCTGTTGCTAATTTCATTAACACCAAAGCAGCTGAAACTGATTAACAACCCCCCCTGCTACTTACCTGACCAGATCAATATCCCAGGAGTTTAATTGACTTGAAGCCATACTCTGATTAAAAAGTGTTTCTTTAATAATTTTTTTTGAACAGTGTATACACATGCCTTTTAATGGACTGGCAATGGATATTAATAAGCATTTGTCAATGGCTGTTATCCACTGCAAAGAAAAATGCAATGTGATGCATAACAATGCACTTGTCTAATGCAAACAACAGAAAAAGCACCTCAACGCACACTCGAAGGTCTAAATGAATCCCTATTGAAAGCATTTATGTTGGCCATACACGCTTTGATACTGTATATGATCAATTTTTTATAATATGATTTTCCAATATGAATCAATCAATATTCAGCAACCCATTTGATCAATATGCCACACACCTGGGAAGTGTATTTCAATCAGTAGTTAACTTACAATTCTAACGCCGCATTCACATCTGCACATTCTGGGAACGTGACAAAAAATGTGTGTCACACCTGCGGTGCCATTGATTGTTAATGACACCCCAAATGCAGCCAGGAAACCTGTGTTTTGAAACACAGCAAATGTGCTGTAAAAGACCCGCAAAGCTCAGTGCTCGATCGGATGCATTCGTCACACGTAGGACAACCCATTCAAGTCTGTCGCGCAAAACACATGCATTAGTGTGATGCGCAGGTGTGAATGAGGCCTACTTAATGATCACAAGTTATCAATCATAATCCAATCAAATATGATCACATTCATGAACAAAGTATTCCATTGATGCTGATTGATGCAATATGATCAACAATACTCTGACCTGGCCAGTTGGCTTAAACGCATCTCATTGAAATTGTGTCTAAATTGATTGGTATGGAAGTTATAGACATCGTTTTGACCGAATTGCACACCGATCGTATTAGAAAAAAAAATCAAAGTGAGTTTGGCCACCATTAGAGCTAAAAACAACTTCTGGAATTGGATTACCATGTTAAATCCTAGTTTATAAATTGGGTCTAGTCTACTTTAACTATTTTAATATAAAAGACTCTCTTACCTGTCTCTGGGGGGTCCAGGAATGTGGTCATATTTCCTGTGCATGTAGTAGATATATCCACAGAACAGGATAAAAGAGATGGAGGCCAGAGCAAGCAGAAGAGCAAAAATCCAGAAAATGAGGGCCCACATTGTCACCGAGAAGATGCAGACGCCTTTTAGCTCACAGCAACAATTGTTAATTCTAAACTGGCTGCTGAAAATAGGACAAAGGGCAGCGACAATCTCACTTTCCTGGATTTGTCCAACCTCCCTCAGATGGGGGCCTCTACAATAACACAGGGTTCGTGCAGTGCATGGTAAACATGGGAATCTCGTATGACGGCATTTTGGCAGCAATCAGGATTTAAAGTTAAAATAAACTCTGGACTGAAAAAAAATATTTATAGTTTTAACTAAAAATAAAAGTTCTTTCTATTGCTTTCAACCTCTTCTAAATCTCCCAAATTTGTTTTTGGTCTGACTTTTTGTTAAAGGGTGGCTACTGTCTTTCTCCATGGTCCCACTGTATGTAGGAATGTAGCCACCCTCTGCTGCTCACTCTCAGGATGGACTATGGGATGTGTAATGTGTATAGAGCAGTGTATGTGACTGCAACTAATGTGCACTGCTTGCTCCAAACAAATGGAAGTGAATAGAAAAGGAGAGGTTCGGGAGCTCACGGAGGATGGTACAAAAAGGGTGAAAAACACAATAAGAATGGGAGATCTGTGCTATCTGCATGCTGAATATGTATGTAATTGGAGTAGTGGTAGGGCAGTGGTAGTGCCCTGTTCTGGGGTAAGTGGCATCAGAGCAGTGTCAGGCTTTATGTATGTACGTGTGCAGGGGCAGACTGACAACTCATGGGGCCCCCCCCGGGCAATAGGGGATTATGGGGCCCTTGTGTCCTCACCCACACTGAAAAAAGCCTATGAAAAGGTACAAGGGGCATCTCATGGGGCCCCCTTCTGACCCTGGGCCCTTGGGCAGTGCCCAAGTGCCCAAATGGTCAGTCCGCCCCTGTACGCATAGATACCCTTCACTTTTGTACCTTCTAATTTACCACCATGGTACTTAGCATAATGTTGAGCTAGGTTACTTTCAGGATCATTGGACCTGATATCTCTAAAGTGTTCGCCTATTCGTACTTTAAGTTGCCTTTTAGTTTTACCTATATACATCTTTTTTAAATGGGCAAGTCAACATATACAGTACTCTGGCTGTGGAGCAATTTATAAGACTTTGAATTTTATAGTGAGTACTATTATTTGAGTCAAAGAAAAAATCTGTGCGGTCCACAAATTTACAGATTTGACATTTTCCACATCTATACATCCCTTTTGTACGTGACTTTAACCATGTTGTTTATTTTAACGGTTGATAGTCAGAATGAATAAGGAGGTCACCAAGATTTGGTGCTCTTCTAGCTACCATTTGAGGGCGTTCACCCACAATTTTACCTAATTTAGGGCATCGAGTTAAAATCTTCCAGTGTTTTTCTAATATTTGTCTTACGTCCTGCCATTGTGCTCCAAACTGAGTTATCATTCTAACAGGTTGCCCACTTGATTTTTTCCTTCTCTTCTTTTTTAGGGGATAACAAACTATTACGATCAGTTTGATATGCCCGATTACGAGCTTTTCTAATCTTTGAGTGGGAATATCCCCGTTCCCTAAACCTTTTATAGAGGTCCTGTGCCTCCATCCTAAAGTCATTAATATTCGAACAGTTTCTTCGACATCTCAGAAACTGTTCTACCGGGATTCCTGTAATCAATGAGCGTGGATGATAACTCCTAGACCAGGGGTGGGCAAACTTTTTGACTTGAGGGCCGCAATGGGTTCATATATTGGACCCGGGGGCCGGACCAAGAGTAGATGAATTATGTGTATGTGTCATCCATAGTAAGTATAGTAATATTTCCCCCATAGTAAGCATAGTAATTAATCCCCATATAATCATCCCCCATAGTATTCATTCCCCCATCCCCCATATAGTAATTCATCCCCCATAGTAATTCATCCCCCATAGTAATTCATCCCCCATAGTAATTCATCCCCCCTATAGTAATTCATATAGTAATTCATCCCCCATAGTCATTCATCCCTCATATAGTAATTCATCCCCCATATAGTAATTCATCCCCCCTATAGTAATTCATCCCCCATAGTAATTCATCCCCCATATAGTAATTCATCCCCCATATAGTAATTCATCCCCCCTAGTAATTCATCCCCCATATAGTAATTCATCCCCCATAGTAATTCATTCCCCATAGTAATTCATTCCCCATATAGTAATTCATCCCCCATAGTAATTCATAGTAATTCATCCCCCATATAGTAATTCATCCCCCATATAGTAATTCATCCCCCCTATAGTAATCCATTCCCCATATTAATTCATCCCCCATATTAAGTCCCCAAGTCCCCCCGTGTCAATTCACTTACCTTTGCTCCGCGCGTTCCTCTCGCCGTGTCCCGCGCCGTTCCGGTGTAGCATGAAAATCTGTCTCCTATGAGGATCTGTCCCCCTCGACGTATCTGCGCATGTGCCAGTTTCAGGCATTAGCAGCCGATCGGCGATCTCCGGCACATGCGCAGATACGTCGAGGGGGACAGATCCTCATAGGAGACAGATTTTCACGCTACACCGGTCTTCAGGGCGGACTGTGAGAGGAGCCTAGCTCTGCGAGCCGGATTAAAAGGTCCGCCGGGCCGTGTATGGCCCGCGGGCCGTAGTTTGCCCATTGCTGTCCTAGACTCTAATAAGGTATTAGCTGCAGTTGGTTTTCTAAACGTTTTAGTAAGGAGCCTGTTTTCCTCAAGCCTAAGTTCGAGGTCAAGGAAAGAAATACGTCTCTCATCAAAGACATATGTAAGTCTGATTTTGAAGGGGTTCTGATTTAACTCCTCCAAGAAAAGTTTTAATTCCTCCAGTGTTCCTCTCCATACAAGGAAAATATCATCAATATATCTCAGCCAAATCTGAGCATATGCAAGAAACCTTAGTGACTTGTAGACAACCTGCTCCTCCCAAAAACCCAGATGTAGACACGCATAAGCCGGAGCCCATGGCGCCCCCATACTTGTACCTCTAGTCTGTTGATAGAAGGTATTGTTAAACTGGAAAAAATTATGTCATAATGCAATATCTAATAGCTCACTAATAAATTAATTTTGTCCCCCAGATATGACACAATTTTTAGGGTATATTTTATCAAGAAAGTAGGAAGTCGATCTTAAACCACATTCATGTGGGATAGATGCATAAAGTGACTCAACATCTATTCCAACCAAAATAGACTTCTCGTCTATTACTAGATTTTCAATTTTAGCTAATACATCTTTAGTATCCCTAACATATGTCTAAACCCAGTATAAATAGGAAGCTGAAAGGCAGGAATCTCATTGGTCCTGACGAAGCAGAGTGAGATACGCCCATCGGCGAAAACGCGTTGACATCATACGTCAGATATGTCATTTCCGGTCATGCGCATTGGCGTTATGAACGCCGACCAGCAAGGAGGCAGCCATCTTCACATGCCATGAGCCATGCTAGGCTGCCAGGCGCCAAGGAGAGAGCAGAACCCGCGAGATATCGGCTGATGTAAGCGGTTCCCTGGATCAATACGGCAGTACATACGGAGGAGGACATCCCCACTATTTATCACCCATGGCACAGGTGGTGAGTGGACTGTTACAAGACTAACGAAGAAGGTTTCTTGTTACTGTCTATATACATCAAAGTAGGAGTACCCAGATTGACTGTCCATATATTATTTGTCTTATTCCAGGATGGGGACATTATGAGGTATTCTACCTAGGTGCAAGGCATCCAGTATATATTACAACAAACGGAAGACCCACTGGGCCTTTTTTCATCACGTTAATTACAGTGGCCTATAGTCCACACGTTGTGGTGAAGAAACCTGTGTAAAGCTGGGCTCTGCTATCTACATCTATTACTCCATCAAGGACATCAACAGGGACTCCTCCGTTTATAAGAATCTTTGCTACGATTTGCATCTGCCAATGGTAGATGCGTTCCACTCACTTGTGCCTTTATAGGGTTGTACTGCATGAGTCCACATTAATATCACTGGGATACATTCCTCTATATATAATTTTTTACCCACATTGCCTTGTTTAGGTTAAGGGTTATGTCTCTTTCCACATGGTAACTGTATTAGCTACTTTGCATGGCATGTCATAACTATATATATACCTATGGTACAATTTTTTGTATTACCTCCTACTGGTAGTGTAACCAATGTGTGGTGCTGCAAATGCTTTAGACAAGGTTTTGTCATTGTCTTTGCAGCACGTTTATATCCAGACCGGTCTTGGTGTGGTTTTTAAGTGGTTTTAGGTCTGTGAGTATTATCTCATACTGAAGTGATGGTGAACCAGGGTAATTGCCCTTTTGTCTATCAATAATGTTTAATAAAGCATAATTTTTTGGAAATTTTTCAGAGTATCGCATTCTGTCCATAATGTAGCCACTTTCCTGTGAATCTCTTTTCACAATTTCTTTGTTTGTTTGCATATTTTTTGGCTACTGGATGGAAGCCACATATTGGGTGATACAGTAATTTATATATGAACCTCTAATTTCCATTATTCAAATAATTGTGGGCAATTACTGGAACCTATCCCCTGTATGGTTCTCCCTCGCAGCTGAAAGCTGGCTTCTTCTATCCCTCCCGCTGGCTTTCAGCTGCTGCAGAGAGCCATGCAGGGGATCAGTTCCTGAATTGCCCACCCCGCCCCACCCATCACTCTCCCTGTGCACCATTTGTTTCCACCTGCTGTCCAGGTGCCTGTCAAGGTCCTACCTTTTCCCTGAGGTTATGTTACTCCATGTGCTGGCGTCCATCTTGGATTCTGCTGTGCATGTGTGGGAATCCTTTTATGCCTTCAGGTCTCTGTGGTCCATCCCCCAGATGGTGTGTGGCTGATGACATATAAGCCTGTGGCCCGCACATGCTCTTTGCACTTGTGTCTTGTGTCTTTGTGTTGCTATTACTCTGTTCTGACTCTCGTGACTCTCCTGGTATCTGATTCGGCCTGTACTCGACTATTCTTTGTATTCTCCTTTGATCTGACTCTCCGTTGCTAAACCCGGCTCGTGACCTGTGATTCTCGTCTGCTGTCCTGTACTGTTTTGTCCTGTTGTTGTTGACCCGGCTTGTCTGACTACTCTTTTGTCTCTTCCACCAGCTACACGCCATTGGCGGCGGCCATTACTGCAGCTGAGGTGTCTCGGGGGCCGCGACCTGGTTCCTGGCTGCGTCAAGTCCATC